GCTTCTCTGGAAGAGACTGGAAGGCTAAAACAGTAACATATTTCAATCATACATGGATTTTTTTTCGTAACTAGAATTAGAGAGCACATTCATACTGGAATTGGATATTCTAAATACTTTATATTTCCCACAGAGAGTGTCAAATAACTGGCAAAGAGTGGACACATAACCGATATGCATAGTGGATAATGGTAGCATCATAACTACTGTTGAGCATGTGGCAATTTGTCATAGTACTAAACATCTCAAGAAGTCAGGACTGCTAATTCCTTTTACCTGAACAAGTCTGTTTATACATGGCCTAACTCTCACTCTTTGGTTAAGTCTTCTGGGATGAAACTGACTCAGTGCTCATTTTGTTCCCAATATTAGAGAATGTAAATAGTCTGCTCTTTAGGTTCCTTTGCACGTCCTTAGAAATCATGTTCCTCATTTCCTGAGATAAAGGGATTGTTATGGCAAAGGTCACCTCATAAAAAACACAACCACCCATGACCATGGGAAGACTGCCTTTTCATGCTAACTTTAGTTCAATTACAACTTTCAGCAAATTGGTCAGCCACTTCTAGATTCCAGCCAGCAGCATATAGGGGCTGTTCATCTTCTAATCCCTTGGCCATATCCAGAAAGATACAAATATTTCAAATTCTCTGAAAAATTCAGTGACAGAATGTGTGTTTGTGAGTGTGTGTGTGTTTATTGGGTCATGTGGTTTAGTCTGATAGAGGATTTAAATGCAGCGATGCAATGACTGAATACATACGTGTGTGCTTGTGTGTATATGTGGTCATGTGGTTTGATGGGAGTATTATATAGTGTTTATAAAGGGTTCTTGTTTATTCCTATGGATGCAATTGGATAATGTAACTCTTTTTTGAAAATATGTTATTTGGGAGCATATATGACCTTAATATTAGTCATTGTCTGAGAAAACACACACACGCTCTTAATTGTCCTATGACTCAGTCATACTCCAGTAGGGTAGTTCTATTTTTGTGCGTAATGCAATGGATAAAGAATCATAAGAACCAAGTTCTTATCTTCATTTTTGCTAAAAAGTAGCAGTGTGACTCTGGGTAAATCACTTCAAGCTAATCTTTTTTATCTATAAACAAAAGAAAACAGAAAGGATTTCTTACTAACATGTCACTGCAACTTAGATGTGCAGTTTCCTCATTTGTAAAAAAAAAAAAAATGGGAGTAATAAAATTATTTGATCTTATATGGTGGTTGTGAGAATCAAATTTCAAAGAACTCTGTAAATGATAAAGCTCTTTGCAAATGGTGACTCATTATTGCCATATAATAAATTATATGTAAATAAAGGGTTCGTCTTCATCCATCTTTATGTTCTTGGGTTCACTGGAAGTGTTCTAGATTTTTTTTTCTTTCAGAAATCTTTTTTTTTATAGCCGGGGCTAGTCTTTAATTTCAGCTAATCTAATTTTGACATTTCATGTATAAGGAAACTGACCCAGTAGAAATGTCAAAATCTTCTCTAAAGTGGCATAGCTTGTTGGTGACTTAAGCAGGAACTTATCCGTGTTTGACTTTTTATTAGTCGTCAGATTCCTCCCTCTGAGTTACATAATTTACTTCTTTAAAGCCAAGTCCCCCCCCCTCCCAAGTATCTTGCAGGATGTTAGAAAATGCTCTTTGTAAAAGTGTTCCAGGTTCTAATAAATTTGTGAAATTCTAGGTTAAAAAAAATTAATAATTTTTTTAAAAAAATTAGTACATTCTGGAATCCAAACAGCAAAGAAGACATTAATATTTTCAATACTGATTAAATCCATTTCTGGAATACAAGAAGTAGCCTCTCCAATTAGGACTGTTTTTAGGGTTAATTTCCAAGTAGTGTTTGGGAGAAGAAAGAACAGTGAATTTCGAGACAGAAAACAAATTCGTGACTTTCTGATCATCCCTCTGTCTCTCATCTCACCCTGCACACACACACACACACACACACACACACATTTTACTATACGTGTGTTTCTTTAGTTCAATTATATTTCTTCTTTGGGCTTCAGATTCTCATTCTACTGAGTGCAGTTTACGATAAATGAGCTCTACCTCGCAGACTTCTTGTGAAAACTGTTGAGGTTCTGCAGATATGTTATTTTTAAAATAATACGTAAGTTAAAGGTATAAATACAGTTTTTTCTGACAATAGAACATATTTCTCTTTTTTGATGTACCTTCTCCACTTTCTAAGGACTGTCATCTGCTGTATTTTATTTTCCTATGCACTGCCACACCATTGGGATTAAAAAGACAGCACATTTTCCTGACTGCTAATACCACCTTAATTTCCTTTTTGTACAAACACCCCAGCCACTAATTCTCAATCCTAAATATTCAATAAATATATTTTACATGAATGAATCTATAAACTTTAACTACTTAAAACATGGCAAACAGGTTTAGTATACAAAATACACTGTGGAATGCTTAATGTTCTTTAAAAGCTTCAACTGAAGGACACATTCCACATCAGTACTATCCTGAAAAATGGTACCATCAGGTAACAGATGGTGTGATAATTTCAACCTCATATTTTAGCAGATCTAATTCATGTATAATTTGATAAAAACAAATACTCCTTATGTCAGGAAACATATTAAAAATAAATTAAGCTGTGTTATTTGGTCATTTATGTAATCACATTTATTCAATATGCACCATGCACAAGGCACAAGCAATTATGAAATGGCAACTACAATCAAGAAATGTAATACAATATAAGAGGAGTCACAGGGATAAGTATTTACAATAAAAGTCAGAATACGAGCATTTTTACAGATGGAACAAACACTTTGAAGAAATTTAACAAAAGGAATTCTTTTATTCAGTGAGATAATCATAGTCAAAAGGGAAGAAGATGGCATTTGACCTCAGTAGAAGATTAATAAATAAAGGAGGGGGAAAGAATTATTGGAAATTATAACTAAATAATAATACAAACAGATTAAAAAGTATAGGCCATTTTTGAAGAGTATGTGTAGGTGATACAAGGCTGGCAAAGTTCCGGACAAACCAGAGAGTTTAGTTCCTAGAGCACCAGGTTTATAACACAGGACACTCAGAATTATAGAAATTATGAACCAAAGTGGGGAAGGGTCAGACTTGTGCTTCAGGAAGGTTGGTCTTGCTTTCAGTGAGCACAAGACTAGTTATAGAAAACCTGGAGAAGGTGAAGTCAGTTAGGATTCTATGCATGTGCCTGAACTAGGGAGCATAAATAGCCCTTCAGTGACTTAAGCGACTTTCAGTCCTCCAGTGACTCAAGGGACTTAACTTCAGTGAGATAAGACATCTTTTTAAGAACCTGTGGGTACAGGGCTATAGTGGTGGACAAAGAAGTAAGAGGTAGAAGACATATATTAAAATAAATTACATACAAATACTTTATATTGTAATAAATGCCAATGAATGTTTGAGATGACCAGGTGTCAGTGACAAAAATGGGGATGCCAGGAGGAGGAGGCATTTTTAGGCAGTTCTGCTTAAGTGGGTTAAGTTTGAGACACTTCCTCAATATTGAGGTAGAAGTGTCTGTCAGGCTCTTGAGTGTTTTTAGCGTGCATTTCTGGAGAAGAATTTATAGCTAAGGTATAGATGTGTATGTCAGCTACATGAGGACAACTGTTGAATCTAATGAAATGGATGCACTCACTGTGACAGAGATGACTGGAAGACCAAAGAAGGTAAAAAGAACATGGGCATGAAATCAGGATTGAACTGGCAAATGTTTTATTTATAAACTTCTTTACCCAATTCAGTTCTACTGTATAAACCTATGTAGATTTATAAAGAAATGAATTTCCCACTTCTGGGCAATTGTAGGGTTTATTATACAGTAATATTTCTGATTTAAGAGGAAAAAAAAGAGTAGAAGTCCCTTTTATTACAGATGAAAGAAAATTTAGAAAAGGATGTCTTAGTTAGCTGATTACAGAAGAACCTATACTGTAAAACAACTCATACAAAAGCATTTATGAACAACAGGGTCAAATAAAACTTCTTTTCCAAATCATCTGATAATAAGGATACATGAATAAAGTTCTTTTAGAAAAATCATCTGGTTGCCAAAGGAAATTTATTATTTTGACAAGTATTTTTCATTGGACAAAGATCAATCTCCAGTAACAGCTAGAGCTATATAAAGACTTTGCTTAACTGTTTACCTTCATGCTATATGTTTGAGGAAAGATAACTGAATCATAATACAATTTTTCTATAGAATGAGATTTAAAATGTTATCTATTTATTGCATAAAAGCTTTCTACAAAACACAACTGATTCTTTATCAACATCTTAGAGCAGTTTATTATAAAATAAACCATCAGAATTTTTGATGAATACAAGTTATTACTACATAGCCTTTTTCCCTCTAAACTGTAGAACAAAATGAAGAATGTGTAATCTTAGCTAAGTAACATCTTAGGTATCAAAAGAAAAAATCCTCAAATTGATTTCTATCAACACGGTCAGCTCATGGAAAATCTAAGTCAGAGCACAAAGTAACACAAACAATAGGGATAGTCTCTTTGTTTTTAATGAGAAGGTAAAATACAAATCACCTTTCATATATTTTCATAAAAGGAAACAGATAAAAGAGAGAAACTGAAGATGACAGAAGTTTTACTCTGCAGTCTATGGATAAGATTCCTGATTTCACTAGTTATCCTAAACGGAACTATGCCTTGATAGGCTTGATTGTTAAGAGAAACAAGGTCTACTTCACTGTTAACGTTTTTCTGAGTTCATTGGAGATGTTTTTTGAACTTTCAGTCTATAAGGAAAAAATCAGCCTGCTCTTCTTTTTGCAAAAGTCTACTTATAAATTTTGCAGAAAAATAAGTCAAGAAACTAGAATTAGCATCAGCTCTACCACCACAAGGTAGGTGACATCAACATTTGTTTTCTACATGTCTGACACTAAAGAAGTACAGATACAAAGTAGGATACTCAAAACATCAATCTAAATTTTAGCTTACCATCGGGAACAGAATTGGAGTGCTGAAGTTCCAATTGACTGGAATCACTAGAGAGTTCAGTCAAACAGGTTAAAGTAAAATCTGAGTTGGAAACATGCTCCTGTCTGGAGCTTCCAGGAGAAAGATTATCCAGTTCAAACATCGCTGCAGACATTGCAAAACTCTCAGAGTTAAGAAAAACAAGGTTTACCCTAGTGAAGTTTCAAAGAACATAGGAAAGAAAAGAAAAAAAAAAAAAAAAAATCACTGTATTGTAATCAAGAATAACTCCAGGCTCCCTGGTAATTATTTTCACTCAAAAAAGTCCAAATGAAATAAAAAAATGGAGAACTGCCTTTCTAAGAAGTTTTCCACATTCACTCCTTTCCTAGACAATTGACTTCAACAGGATGGATGGATGGATTTTAGAATTGTTTTTCTTGAAGAGATCTTGCTGCCATTAAATGATAGTAGCACTGAGAGGCTGCAATGGAAATTAAAATGGGCTAAGTGAAGATATAGGCAAGGCTATAGAGAGATGCTTTTAGTAACTTGGTAATAGAAGTTCTCATTCACATTTCTGTATACAAGAGATCATCTGGGTGGGGCTAAGAACTGTCAGGCAATGCAACTTTATTCCACTGGGCAGCTCATCAGAGGAATGTTAATTTGGGAGGAAGTTAACCCTAAATGATATTTTCTGGGTCAGGATTGTCAAACCATTATCCTGCCGCTTTTAGAAAGATGATTGTGATTATGGAGATTAAGAGATTTTTTTTTAATGGTGATCAGATAAAATGCATGACTTGAGAAAAACAAAAGATTGGATTTCACAATATGAGCAAACGACCAAAGAGCAAAATGACAGAAGGTGGGGGTTAAGGGAATTGGTATTGTTATATTTGAGAGGTAACACATGAGTTCCCTATGAGTTGTTAGACAGAGGGCTGTGTTGATCACATCAGAAAATTTAACCAGGATCTCACCTTTATTCATATTCTTCCCTTTTATTCATGAATCTAATAAAGGGCTCCAGAAGGTGCCCTTCAATGGCTTGTCAAAGAGTAATTCAGCAAAAGATAGCCTTCAGTTCAGGTATCCAAACCAGATGAGGTTCCGATCAGTTCTCTGTTGGCCTGTCTTAACTCATTTTTATTCATTAATTTATTTATTCACTCAAGTAAGCATTTATTGAGCCTTTTCCTAGGTTTTAAGTTAGGTGTTGAAATATCCAGGCAAGGTCACTTGACAGGATGTGGGCTGGGTCTGGTCTCAGTGGGAAAGAGAGCTGAGATTGATTAGGGAGTTTTATTATGACTATGGCATTAGGTATGGAGGTAGATGTGTCACCCATGAGGAATGCTATATTTAAAGAAATTTTTACCTTCTTTGCTCAGCACTCTTCAACTGAGTAAATATAAGAAGCTTGCAAATCAGTTGCTATAATATAAAAAAATAGTCTAGATGAAAAGTTACATGTCTTGCTCATAACTAGTTGTTATCATTAAGCAAACAAGTAAAGAATTCTGGCTCTTTGCTCCACATGCCTTCATAAACTATAGCCCAGGCAGGGGAATGATTTCCATCCCAACAGCATGAGCAAGAAACAACATATTGTGCTATGTAAACATAGTCCACCCTTCTGGCACAGGCACGATAAATCTTTGATTAAAATGACTAACACAGCCAATTTCCACTAATAAGTATACAACACTTTGCTTGGATAAAAAGGTGAAAACAACATGAAAATTTAAACCATAATCCAGAAAAATATGCCACTGTTTAAAATAAAAATGAAACAATTCCGTATGTATTCTGACATAGCTTCTTCACAGGCTAATATGAATACTTTCTTGTCTCTTACCACCAGTGAATTCTTACAGTCTAATTTAGACTCTTAGAAAAAAACACAGATTGGTTAATAGTGGGAAATGGGTTGATGAAATGATGACCTCTAGGGAAAATAAAGAGCCCCGGTGGCACAGTGATTAAACGCTCTGGCTGCTAACCAAAAGTTTGGCAGTTTGAATCCACCGGATGCTCCTTGGAAACCCTATGGGGCAGTTCTACTCTGTCCTATAGGTTTGCTATGAGCTGCAATCGACTGGAAGGCAATGAGTTCATTTTTTAATGAGAGGGAAAATAAAAACAAAAAAGAGGATAATGAAAGGTAAAAAGGTGTTAAAACAATTTATAGAAATAAAGTAGCTTCTAGAATAATGAAAAGTGGGCTCCACAATTCTCAATCGAAATATTTATTATGATACATAGTGGGGAGCACTTTTTGAGAAATGAAGTCTAAACGGTTTGATTTGAGAGTTACTCAAGGAGGTTTACCTACTAAAGTTTTTCTAGTCTCTATAGCTGGTGGCACAGTGGTTAAGAAATCAGGCTGCTAACCGAAATATCAGCCGCTAACCAAAAGATCAGTAGTGCCAATCCACTAGCTGCTCTTTAGAAACTCCATGGGGCAGTTTTACTCTGTGCTATAGGGTTGCTATGAGTCAGAATTGATTCGATGGCAACAGGTTTGGTTTTGGTTTTATGCCTTTAAGTTTTTCAAAATCCTTAAGTGTCTCCTATTTCCAACGATACATTGAAGAATGTGGTTAAAATGGAAATGTGATTTGGCAAGGGAACTATAGTTAACATCATCTGATAAATGATTTCTATCAAGACCCTGAGGGGATGATTTCTTAGGTGACAGGATAAACCTATTCTCTCTAGTAGTGGGTTTTAAAGTTTCGAGCATGAGGACACCTCGGGAAAAAAGTATATGTATAGATAAATATATATTCAGTCATCTATCCCTGTGTATACATGGTATATTGTATTTTGAGTATTAATATATGAAAAATAATGATGATGATATATGATTACTTGAAATTCACTAGTATGTAAATATTATATTAATCACATCTACACACCTTTGAAAAAATGTTAGTGTAAATGTGAGAAATGCCACTGACTGGCCCTGGTGGCAATTGTTCATTATACATGTGGTTTCCTAAATTCAGGCAATTGCTCTACTCCCTGCCCCCTCCTCACCATACCACAACACTGTCCCAGATGTAGCACCCATATATCCGTAAATTGGGAATTCCTATAAGATTGCTATGAGTTGGAATCGACTCGTCAGCAATGGGTATAATATAGATGAGCAAACACTCTCAGCAAACTCACTTCATTGTCCTTTTCCCTAGTGACCTAGGTACAAACATCCCCTTAGTCCTGCAGACCAAAAAACAAACAAACAAACGAAATCCATTACCTTTGAGTCCATTCCAACTCACAGTGACCTGATAGGACAGAGTAGAACTACCCCATAGGGTTTCCAAGGAGTGGCAGGTGGATTTCAACTGCTGACCTTTTGGTTAGCAGCCAAGCTCTTAACCACTGTGCCACCAGGGCTTCTAGGAGTATTTGTTTTAAAGAACATTTTTGTTAATGTGGATCCTCAAGAGTTGGAACCTTAGCATTTTTCTATTCCTGGGTCTTAGAACCTCTTAAATTCTACCCAGCAGCTCCCTGTATACTTCTAGTCTTTAGTGAGATATTTCCATGACAGTTTATCTAACACTTTTAGTTTTAAACAAATAAGATTTCTGCAAATCTTATGAAACACTAGTGTAAAATTCTACCCATGTTATCTTCCTGTTACCTTCATAGCCAGACATATCTTCCAAACTTTCCTTCTTAGAGTGCAAACACACATCAGCAGGGAATGCTACACAGAAGCCTCCTTCCTGTTTGACTGCGCTCACTGCAAACATTTTCCTCTGAATGTGGATCAGTTTATCTCTGTTACTATAGCAACCATTCACTTGCTAGTGGTTACAGTAAACTCAGGTCCCTGGTCCTTCACTCATTTCAAAACATATGCTGCATTTTACAAACCCTTCTTCTGAGGCAAGCTAAATTTTGGTATAATCTGCTTTGGGTTCTCTTAACAGACCTAACTTTATTTTATTTAGAAAATGGCTAACTTTATTTTAAATAATTGTGATTTTAACTGGATCATAATAATACAACTTTAAATAAGTATAACAAACTTATTTCTCATAAAGTCTTCTGTATAAGTCCCCAATTGAACAACTGTTATAAGCGTAACTCAGAGAATATATTTTTCTTTTAGCTGAGTTTTCTAAACTTCCAGAACGAGTTAGTGAAAAAGAAAAACAAGGAAAACTTTAGACTGAATCTGGTGACATTTATTGTCTTTATGGCCAGAAAAATCAGTGACGAAATTAGATGGATTTTTTTTTTTTATTACTATGCAACTTTAACTTTATTGAGTGTTATTTTATGTTATTATGGCTTTTAGTTCTAAACCTATTTGTCATTTTAACCCATTTACAATTTTTCTCAGAAATTGCACATATTTCACACATGCCAGATTCACACACTGAATCAGAATTGCTCAAAACTCTGTCAACAATCAAATTGCTTACACAACCAAATACATTTCCTCCAACTCAAACAATTACTGATGGAGGAAAAAAAGTGCTCTCATCTCACTATATTTACAGTCCACATTGTTGTTGCTGTTAGGTGCCGGCAAGTCAGTTCCAACTCATAGAGACCTTATGTGCAAGAGAACAAAACTCTGCCCGGTCCTACAGTCCACATAGGTGATGCATATTCCCAAAGCACTGGGTATTTGCTGCCTCAGTTTCTCAAATGAACTACCATAAAATAACTTATAGGAATCATTCCCATATTGCAATGCATTTTAAAAGCTCCACTTAGAATTGACAATATTTGGCTTACTACAAGTTTCATTAGAATTAATGAAAAAAGTTATTTATTTCAATGCATTAGCTCCGTATTCCTCCCAGGAAAGATAGTCACAAAAATCCTTTTTGTCAGACCACCTCTGCATTTATCACATTATATGACTGCTATCTTAAACCAAAGGTACATTCCTGTGCAGGAAAGATGATTATATGGGTTTTCCTAAAAATGAGCATTAGTGCTGAGTCATCAGGCATTTAAAAGAATGTCCCAGGAGGATACTGAAATTGTAGTTTGGAAGAATATAAAGGATTCATAAAATCAATTTGCAAGGACAAAAGGAAAAGGAGGATTCATTTTACATGGAATGGTGCAGACACAACTGTGACTACTTGTAGAGCAGACTCTGCATTTTATATATACATGTATATATAAAAGAAA